GTAGTAGTAGTAGTAGTAGTAAAGTTGTTGTTGTAGTTGTAGTCGTAGTAATGCTAGTAGCAGTACTAGCACTACAACTGGTAGTAATACTCATACTAGTACTAGTCCTAGTACTAGTACTAGAACCAGTAGCAGTAGCATTCGCAGGAGGATCAGCTTGTCGTCGCCGTCGTTGTCGTCGTGGCTGTGGCATTGCAATAACTGTTGTGGAGGTTGAAGGAGTGGCAGCTGTGTTGTGGCCCTACGGGCGTAGCAAGCTGTCGCTGTCATCACTCGAAAAACCATAGTGCATCTCATCATGAGCCTCCTCACTCAGGTTGTCCAAGGCCCTCTTGGCATCGTCGTCCAGGAGGCTGAGCACGTTCTCACAACCGAAAAAAGCCTCGTTGGGCGCCGAGATCAAGTTGGCCTGCACGGGCATGGCGCCAAACAAAACAGTAGTAGTAGCAGTAGTAGTAGTCGTCGTCGTAGTAGCAGTAGTAGTAGTAGTAGTAGTAGTAGTAGCAGTAGGAGGAGCTGTAGGCCGAGGCGTAGAGGTGGAGCGGTGGCCATAGCAGTAGCGGTCATGGTCGTAGTGGTAGTCCGCCTGGCCCTGGTTTCCGTTGGTCGCGTGAGAGTATGCAGATGGACTCCATGCCTGCACCTCACGAGGTGAAGTTCAGGATCGTGAATTTGGGTTTACGGTCAGGTGCTTGGGGGGTAACGCGGGTAGAGTCCGATCGAGGTTGAGGGCTTCAATGGTTGGGGTGTGTGTGTGTGATGTGCCGTTCAAACATCACATGGCCTGGTCGCTGAAGAGGTTTCCAACCTGCTCATGTCGCAGCACCCAGCCGAGGCTTCCAGTTCAAGGATTGACTTGAGAACGTAAACCGACAAACGGATCTGCTCCCTCTCTACGCGCAGTTGGCACAAGCGGTTGCCCATGCCACCGAAACACCTCTTCAAAAGCAGCTTTGTCGGTCCGACAGCAGGTAACCTTTATACATTGAGACGGGCTCCGAAAAGAGGAAGCCGGCCTCTGGACTCTCTTCTGCAGGTGCAAAGCCCTGGCCACTACCTCAGGGAAGAAACCGGAACAAGTGATGTAGGTAATGGTACGATCAATTGACGATAACAACAACAGCTGTGGCAGCAGTCGTCCTCCTCCTCCTGCTGCTACCACCACAACGACTGCGACTACTGTTTCCAACCATGACACATAAGCAACAGCCTCCAGAACACTAGTTTCGGCGGCCTGCTTGAAATGGAAGGGGAGGTGGTGGTGCTCCCGGGATCATAGACCCCATGGGTGCTGGAGGAGGCGGCTGCATGCCTGCCGAAGCAACAGCTCTGACGCATTCAATGGCCTTCAAGGTGCGGGTTTCGGTGATTAGGGGATCCCGCAACGAATCCAACGGTACAGGACGGAACCAGGGCAACCTTCAGCTGAAATATGCTTAAAATGGTACATATGTCATATGTATGCTTATACTTTCAGATCGCCGCATATCATACACTGCTCCATTTAGGTTTATTTCATTCTCCGATTTAGAGGCAGGTCGGGTCGGGTCGGGTAGCTAATTTCGCTACATTCACGGGTCGGGTCGTTAAATTCTGTTAAAAATCCGGCTAACATTATCTGGCTCTGTTCAGGCAGGCAGGGCAGGCAGGGCAGGCAGGGCAGGCAGGGCAGGCAGGCAGGCAGGCAGGCAGGCAGGGCAGAGAGGGGAGGTGTGGAACCTATGTCTCCTTTTAATGGCAAATAAACAAAACTCACAAACCGGCAGTTCTCTGCAGGTCCACTTGGACTGTTACTTAATTAAGGGGTCTGTCAGTCGCAAATTTCGATTTATCAGGTCGGGTGGCTTATTCCGATATTTCGAGGTGACGTCGCATGTCCTCGCTGTACTTTCCGCTGCATACAGAATGAGAAATCGAATAGAAGACAACGCAAAGAAAATAAACACATCGAAAGCACATACCTGCCTTCTAGTACATAATCAACTGCATCATACATGCATCTGAATTCTACACTGGCACTGCGACAGAAGATGGTCGATGCAACCCGTTTTACTGTATCGGATGTGAAACTGCATCACGGTCTGCAGAGTGCAAGAGTGCAACACAACAAAAAAAACTCTGTTAGAAGCTCCTATGTCAAGACTTCGTAGCTAGGCTTTGGAAAGCCCATGTTGGTTGCCGGGTTGCCTGTCCGGGGTCTGCCGGGGGTGTGGCCCGCCTGGTGCAAATCGATCCAGGTTGCTTTCTACATCAAGGGTTCACTGTGAATCATTAGCTTGCTGTTGACACAGTCAAGGATCATGCAAAGCTACTGTAGCTTCATGTAGATGAGCATGAATGTACCGTCGGCAGGATGACTAGGTCATCCTGAGCCGAGGTTGGAATACAACCAGCCGACCTTCCGACCAACCGTGCGGTATGTGCGCAGTGCTGATTAAAAGAATGTGTGCAGTGCTTCCATGCCTTAGCATTCCCCACAGCTCGCTGGACGTAGGCCGAAGGACTTCGGATTTGATCCGCTTTCTGATCGAGCTCCTGCATCTTGGCCCCAATCGATCTTGAGTCTTCTGCCGCGGTGATTATGACTGCCATCACTGCTATCATGACTTCTGCTACTGCTGGTCTTCGCACAGAGTAGTAACGCGCCAGCAGCAATACGTTGACCCTGTAATCCCTAGTATAACATGGTCCTAGCCTATTGTCGGGACAGGTCTCAGTGTTGCTATCCGTCTGAAACAAAGTAAACCACGACCATACTGTCAACAAAGCGATAGTGATGCACTTATGAAGGTAATGACAAGGAGGAACAAGCTGGTCGAGACGATGATGATGAATATGGTACTGATCATCATCATCATCATCATGTTAAGGATGGTAGTGGGTGGTGGTGCCGATGAATACCGGTACGGTCCTTGTCTGCGATAGTGACTAGCGTGGCACACCTTAAACCCGGAGCCCCGCCTCGATCCCATCCCAATCCCCAGGCCCTCAAGCCTCAAACCCTAAACCCTGTACTCAAAAACAACACAAAGCCTGAAGACCTCAAACCTCTGCACCCACAATACACTGAGACCTACAGGCCTAGAACGCCTTGAGCCCCAAGCTCTCCTGCAAGATATCTACGGCAAGGGTGTCCAAGGCCATCAGAGACTGCCATGCCTGCCGAAACTCGAACATAAGCGGACTTGGGAACCACTACTAACTGGAGTAGAGGATGCAGTGGAACGGCATGCAATATCATGAAACATGATACTATGATTCGCATGCTCTTCGTCGAACCTCTATCACATGCAACTGCCTTTTGATCGATGGCTGGTCGCCACTTCGCGAGAAGGTCGTCTAATGCTTCCAGGCCTCGGGTTGAGGAGATGCCAAGATACGTCTGCTACGTGACTGGCAGGCTTACGCCTGGAGCGCGTCGTTGAATCTTGTGCGTACAGTCTCTGTGCCTTGCGTTAGTTCACAGTTTGCTGCCAGCTTGGATGCAGCTACTCCCTACACGCTGAGCTGGCGACCACCAGGTGAGATCTCAATTAGAGGCCGTCCCACAGGAAGCATGCCTGCTGAGCAGCATCATCAACTCTGGTATGTCTTCTGTAGTCGCATGAAACGATGCATTAGTCATGTCCTGATTCGGTCTTTCGAACATTCAGCTTGCTATGGTCATCAATACCACTCAGTCATCATCATCATCATCACCGCCCTATTTCGCCACTACATTGCTAGCGCGTAAACTGCATTCCCTTGCGCACGGTGCTTCTGCAAGCAGTCGAGCCAGCCCAGACCAACAGCCATTCCGCACCGACTCCTTTTGCTCCCTGCCTCCTGCCGCAAAGTTTGGCTGCGCAACCGGTGGCGGGGGCGGGGCAGAGCGCGGCGGTGCCATGGACGTCTCAGTGATCCCCAAGCATCAGACATGCTGGCAGCAACAGCAATAGAGACTAACAGGCATCAAAATTGTCACCATGCTCAAGCTCCAAAATTTAAGTGACTCGAGCTCAGTCTCGGACTTGATAGGGTACCCCGGCTACAGGCAGATCTTCGGGGCCTGCCGTCGGAGCGGAGATCCAGTGCACAGGGTGTAGCATACGGTCCAAAGTTTACCGTGCTGCTGCGCTGCAGCCGTGTAAGTTATGCAACATCGATGATGTGTGGTCCGTTGTTGCATTCACCCAGCCCAGTCCATTTGGCGGCCAAACCGCCCAAACCTACTCCTTGCGGGTTAAACATAAACTGCCTAAACCCTTAACTCATTCCCACCGACTGTTTCGGCGCAGCGATTTGCAGGGACAGTGCTTTAGCAAGGCAGGCTCGTGGAGGCTACAGAGCCCAGAGGTCGCCAGCAGTGGCGAGAGGTTTTGCCATGATTTCAGGGATAAAGGGCACAGACAGCGGCCTCACCGTTAAGAGCTTGCAACATAGAATAGCGGAGGATTTAGGATTCCAGCGTCACCTCGTCGATCGTTCTGCAAGTTCCGGCAGACGTACCTCGAGTGCTTTACCGTCAATCAGACCCAAGTGCGGACGAGAACGAGCAAAGAGACCATCACTGTTCCGACGACAAGCGTCGGAGCTCGCCGAAATCTGCAAGACGTTGTCGAACGTGCTACCATCTACTCTGGCTCAAGACCATGCTACCCAGCCATGAAGTCCAAGGAACAGCTCCGTTTTGTGAGTATCAGTTTTGTTGTAGCTAACTTCAACTCGTACTGCTTTGATTATCTGTGATTCCACCATACCTCTGTCCAGGCACGCAGAAGGATTCCGTACAGAACCTTCTGTTTGCTGCAGGAGGATTCCCAGGGCGTTGCACGCTGCCTGCCAGCGACACATCTCAACGGACACATGAGACCAGCCTCCTATGTTCATTGATGTCTGAAGTTCGTGGTTGCTGCCGCATGCTGCCCACGGGCTCTTGGAACGGCTCAGTCTTGAACTGTAAGTTGAAGGCTTCAGTTCACTCCCCGAAGCCAGAAACTACTGAAACGTCGATCCTACAACACAGAACCGTAACTACATTAAGCCCTTACTTTTCGAACCTCAAAGCCCTAAAGTCCTTCAACTCGCCCCCGTCTTAGCCTCAGTCCAAGACCCGAAACCGAAAAGGACACCCCAACGCCAGGCCTGCACCGACTTGCCCTGCAACTCGCGGATCGCCTTCTCATCGAGATGCCGCGCCTCCCGGGTGCAGGTTTGGGGTTCAGTTCAGGCCTTAGGAATCTTCAGAGCTTCAGGTTTTGTGTTGGGGTGCGCTAGGGTTTGGCATTCTGGGCTTCAGGGGTTTGCATGGGGTAAGGCTTCAAAGATGTCGGGCCAAGGGTTCTGGGAGCTCAGAGTTCCCGTGGTTGGGCTTCAAAGGATAACATCCATGCTTATCCTTTCCTTCTCCCTTTGTTGATTTGTTCCGTTGGGCCCTGCGCAAACCCGTAGCTCCAAAACCACGAATTGCAGGAACAGAGCACTTGGTAAGAAGGTTTGCAGCTGGGTTCATCACAGCTTTACGCTTGAGGTTCGGGTCTCGGGACTGGAGATAAGGCTGCAATTCGATTAGACGAGCAAGGAGGCGAATAGATGGAAAGTGAGACAGGCCTATGTACGTAATATTTTTCGATGCATGAAATCACTTCTGCACTTGCACCTGCACGTGCAGAAGCGTGCATGGTGGGTAAAGATATGATATGTTAGTATATAATATGATAGATCATAAGCAGTGTAAATGCATGCACAGTCTTTGCACAGCCGAAAACCTTTGATAACTCTACTTGCGGAAAGCTCATGGAAGCTGCCTCAGAGGGGTTATCTGACCCGCAGTTGTGCTTCGTAGTGTCCGTCAACCGTGACTGTTGACCGTGCTGTAGTTCTACACCCCCAACCTCACATGTCCCGGAAGCCCTGCACATCCTTTTGACTTATGACGAAACCTTCGAACGCCTGAATGTCACATGTATCAAGCCGTCACCTGCTCCATCAAGGCCAAAGCACTCCTGGGCTCAGGGACGGGGTTTGAACTTTAGAATGTAGGGCATGTAGGGTTCCGGACGGGGAGCTGTGCGTGTTAAGTTCCCGGATTCGGCAGGTATGGCTTGCCAGCATGATGATGGCTTCCCGGCAGCCGGAGCACGTTCTATGTCACAGTCAACCGCTCGAATCAATAATTGACATGGCTGAGGCTGTGGCTCCAACTCCTGCTTGCCGGGAGTGGGTTGCGCATTCCTTCCGCCGCAGCTAGGATCGGGAAAAGTGGAATAAAGGATGATTATCATCATGTCCATGCGAAATAGCCAGTGAGAAGAACAACATGGTCTACTGAGTCTATTGAACCATGTCGGACAATGACTGGGATTGAACCCTTAACCACCTACACTCTGATGTGATCTGTTGATAACTGAACTTCGTACTGCGAGTGTCCTGTAGGTACATGTCAGTGCCGCGGCCATCAAGGAAATCTAGACCGCCACTGCTGCGCAAGGGCAAATGCGAACCTTGCGCCCCCCGATCTTAATCTCTGAAACTCCCAAGGTCCCAAACCTAGACAGGCCGTCGCGGTACAAAGGCACAAAGCATGCTGCCTGACAGCTGTTGAGACGAAGGCCGAGACATTTCGGACCTCAAGCAGAGTGCGAAGTGTTGGCCTTTGGCTCCGGATTCGGGCTGGAGTTGTTTGTATCTCTGGGGCTGGGATTTGGGGATTCATATGGCATACGACGTATGGTATCGGGAGCTAGGTCAGAGGAGAAGAATTCTTTACGGGCTTCTGCAGTATGCTTTTCTTTGGCATGGCTTGGGTCTCGATGTTTGACAGTTCCGGTGCACTCTCCTCGCTCTCAACGCTTAAATATAGGCCCCCTTTCTGTAACAACCGCCCGGCACCTCGCAGCCCACCCGCAAACCCTGAAGTCCGATACAGCTCAAACATCCCAACAACGAAAGACACCCGTCATCCCGGTAAGGTCCCGCCCTATGGGCCTTGCGATCCTTCAGACCCGAGCCCCCTGCGGCCTTACACACAATCATGTGAAGTTGTATGGACGAGGCATACATCTGACATGTCAGTTGTTAGCACCCAAACCTCGTCACCTAGCTGGCAATGACCTATGCCCCTTCGAGTCAGACACTCCGAACAAGCCTCTCAAACGGCAAATGTGTACGCTGGTACATCTCAAACACTGTAGATGGGCCTCGTCTTGACTGCTGGCAACCTTGTTCAAAATGCTCAACGCAGTGACCTGAGCTGAAGCACCGCCCGTGCTGGGCACCTAACATGTAGTTGCAGATGATGAAGGCGGTTTAGCCGTGATGATGACGATGATGATGATGACACCAGGGTCGGATTGGTTGAGTTGGCTGTCATCACTTCGATTCTGGTGGCGGCTGTTACCACCTGCTTACAGATAATTTATAAATTGTTTTGGTTATTATACGATCATATTTATAATATAATTTTTTGTTCATTTTAGATAATTTTTTGTTCATTTTATTAAATAGTTTTCTTTCTTCATGGGAATAATTTATGATATCGTAGAAATGAAAAGAGGTAATAATATCATATATGTAATATAATATAATTTACTGTAATATAATGTAATATAATGTAACATAATATATTATAGTGTAACGTAGTGTAATATAATATAACGCAAGGTAATATAACAGAGTATAATATAGTATAATGTATAATATAGTATATTATTGTATAATATATAATATAGTATAATATAGTATAATATAGTATAATATACTATAGTATAATACAAGAAATATATAATATGGTGTAATATGATATAATACAGAATAATGTATTATAATATGACATAACAACATAATATACTATAATGGAACGTATTTTAATATACTATAGTATAATAAATACACACAAACACCCTCAACTACACTCTACTCTCCACCAGATGCCACATGCACAGCCAAACCTTTCAAAAGACACTGACACTCCGAATGCCCAAAAACCTGTTAAAGCCATCCATGTCTTCTGGGTCACAGACTGGACTGGGCAGAGAGAGCAAGCTGCTTAATGCCTGGAATACCCATGAGGTATGCAAGGGTCCATGTTAGGCGTTCAGGCTCTATGTAGGTGAAGACTTCGGTTTGCTTGAAGTTTAGGGCCAAGACTTCGACTGGAAGGTCTGGGGTCAAGGGTGCTGGTAGTGGGCAGAGGTCGCATGGTCGGGATTCAAGGAGCTCGGGGTCTTACATCTGAGGAACCTGTGACAGAAACTACCGCTGCCGGCCTTCTCGTCTAATCCACCCAGGCAGCCGCTAGCGATGCTTTCCAGGATCGTTGGCATCGATGCAACGCCCTCAAGCTAGGACAAACTCATTCGAGCTGCTGGTGGTGTAGCTGTCAAGAGTAGGGGAGGTTGCTCTAGTCTAATGTCTGTCTTGCAATCACGGTTCTGCAAGCTATCCGGGGTGGGGAAAGGGCCATTCAAGGAGGTGTTCCATTGGCTACGAGTCTTACAACATGGTCTACACCTGTATTCAGCTCGCAAATGGCATCGGGAGCATTAGGAGCATAAACCCAGACGTGGGCGAATCGCAGGCAAATGCCGTCACACGGGCGGAAGTGGCGGCCGATGCACGCGACCTCTTTTTGGAAACTTCACTGCTGAAATGCCTGCGAGAAGCTTACGTGGAGCTCCCTGCTGACCTCAGATCAGAAGCGATGGGGTCTTCTTCATTTTGTCATCATGATTACGTCATGACTCTGACTATGAGCTTTTTGTTGCCGGCCTTGTCATACGACTAACTACTGCGGCTAGGAGTTAAAACACTGAAACCAAACCTGGCAGTGAGCAGTTCTGAGCTCGATACACGATGGCGCAAGGCCGCCACCTTCCAAAGCTTTGAACTGCCACCGATGTGATGGCGGCTCAGGGGTGTGATGCTTATAAGGGTTCTTGAAGCTCCACTCCCGTGCATACTGCATGCGACATGACTTCCTTGCGTCATCCAAAGCCATTTTCTCATGTCGTGTGCTGCAGCTGCAAGGACGACAGTGCAAGACTAGACTTAGTCGTCTCACGATGTCTCACAGCCGGGTCATACGAGCCGTATGAGAAAAAGCCTTACAACACACCTCAAACAAACCAAAAACCCACGCACGGAAACAAGGCCTCACGAGCAGCTGCTTGAGATGAACCCACAAGCCGCAGCTGCTGTTGAGTGATGCTTTCCGCCTTCGAAGAATATCGCACTCCACTGACCATTGCAAACATAGGAGTCTAGACTACGCAGACCTCTGCCTCTGACTGAGCGAGCACAGGCGAGCAACGCCAGGAAGCGGCAGCAGCCGACGAAGTGTCGCCATACGTGCTGCGAGCCGTTGTCGTGTGTTTCCGTTTCTCGACTCTGGCAACCTATGGCAATACCGCCCCGCTAGTTGGTTTGGCGATTTCCAACCATTGACCATGCAACAATGCAACAGACACCCCTCTTATCAACGCTCCTGTTTCTAGCACCCCAATCATGCGGCCTCTTTCAGGGCATCCAAGAGGGCCATCACCTCTCTATCCTGAAGGCAAGACATGACCGCCTAAGCCTTTTCGCAGAATCCTATTGTTCCAGGCTACGGATTGGACTCTAAGGCGTTTAGAGTGTATCGATGCTTATACGACATAATGGAGGACTTCCTGATCGGCGAGCGGCCATTCCTCGGACCTGTCGCATCCGAATGCTGAGTCAGTGGCCCAAGCGCAGCGCGCACGAGCGCGGCTTACCTGATCAGACACTGCGGCTTGTTGGTGGAGACCACTTCATCAATTTTTGCCATCAAAAAAGCACTCGTTCTCTTCAACTCTCTTCATGCCTTGGTGGCCACGGCAGCAGTGCGGTGGCAAGCATCCTGCACGTGCTGCACGATGACAGCATCGACTTCGAAGATACGGAACAGTCTACGAATCATTCTGAGCCTTAACTGCAATGAGAGATTACGATTCACATGTAGCTGGCCCAGCAGGTACATGACTTCTACTGCTTCTGATGCTGCTGCCCTTTTTGCTGACAGCTTGCCGACAGCGAACAGGAGCTGTCCATCGAATACTTCGAAGACAACACGCTTGGCTGTCCGAGTAGTACACTCACTGTTACTCGGTCACGCAGAGGTCATGTTGTCATCGCCAGTACGATGCACGGCTGATAGCATCATCATCGACAACGTCGTCGTCATCATCATCATCGTCACTATCATCGCCATCGTCATCGTCATCAGCAACAACATCATCCGCATCCCCATCATCAGGGTATAGATTGAAAGTCTTGGTTCGTCATACAGTTCAAGGTTTCATCACCCTGGTTCACCGTCATCACGAGAAAGCGACAGCTTGCACCTCAAGGCGTTGTTCAGCATGGGCTTGCAAGGCCTCGCATCGCAGCACAAGGTGCATTTGTTTCCCTTGCTTCCCTGCTGTGTGGCTGACAACTTCGAGAAGGAGAGCCTTGGCCGCCTCGGGCCTGGGCCTTGGCCGCCTTGGCCCTCCTCTTCGGAGTTAACGAAACACATCTTCGGCATCAACGTAACCTTCAACCTCTGCAGCTCCCTAGCCCCCCACACTCTAAACCGTCCCGATCGGAGCAGAGCTGACGCTCAAGAAGTATCCAGAAGGGTTGTCTACGCTCGTCTTAGTCTTCGAAGTTTCCAAGCAGAAATCTTAGTGTCTTCAGCCCTTGCAGGGTAGGGTTGTGGATTACACCAGCGCACATAAGGGCGATCAAGCTATCCACTGCCGCATCTCTCTCTGCTTGGGGCCGACTAACAGTTTTGAAGTTTTGAAGAACAGAAACAACCGTTGCTTTCATTCCGCTGGTCTACAGTTGACTGGAGCAGTCCGAGGATGTAGTAAGACTTCCCCTGGCCCTAGACCCATGAAGCAAGCACCGAGCTTACATTGACATGAGTCTGCACAGTGATCGCAGATACACATCCCTACGCACTCAACATCAAAAACTACGACCTATTTCCTAACTCCGAGAAGTCGAGCCGCAAGCGACAAAGCTCGAACCATAGTTCAATTAAGCCCACCATCTAAAGCCCATAATCCTAAACCGTGCGTCCTAAACCCGAAACCCTGTCCCCAAAGCCCGAAACCTTAATCTCCAGCAAGACACCTGGAACCTTTGACACGCCTCGTTGCTTTAGGATCGGCCTCGGCTTGTCTGAAGGACTCTGCGGCCATTTCTTCCAAGGCCCTGCGCATTTCAGCCGCCAGGGCCTGAGAGAAACAGACGAGGCGTGGAACTTTCGGGTTTCGGGTCTTTACTGCAAGAGCCCTATAAACGGAGAAAAAACCCTCCAAAACTAGGAAAACGAACTCTGAACATTGTTTGATGCGCAACATCTTGCTCCGCCTGACCATGCTCAATATCTTTTGTATCTTCGCAGCTGTCCCGAGGCTATTCATCTGACTCTGTGCGGAGGTCTACTTAAGGATGCAATACAGGCTCGGATCTGCACTTTGCCGACGGCTCTCTGTGTTCTAAAAAGAACCTCTCAGGAATACTCACCCTGGAGGCCTACGGATGTCCGTAAGCAGGTAGGCAAGTCAAGGCATGAAGTGTCGCGACGCCGTCAAAGCGCACTCCACTGAATCCCGAATTGATCCCTTGTGCCCTGTGCCCAAAGATCATGCGGGGAAAACTCAGAAAGCAGGCCTTCGCAGGGTTTTCCTGCAAAGGCACGCGAGCCTCGACATGAATTCTGCGGTACTTGCTCTCGCCTCTCGCTCGACATCCCAGCAAGTCAGCAAGGAAAGCGTGCAAGATCTCAAACACAAAGTCTAAAAATACTGACGCCGGAACACTAAGTCCCAAACCCCTAAACGGAAACATCAGATTTATGATTTCCGCAACCGCAACGGGTACAAAAACAGTGGTATATGACACCAATAGTAAGACGAGACTCGCAAACAGTGGCAATTGCAACCGTGACGTTCTTATGACAGCTTGAACGTGGCAAACCCACATTCAAAACGAGAGAAGCCTCGGCAGCCTCGACAGTAGATCGCAAAGAATCTCTTTCTCCCACGCCGGCCGCTAACCTTCGAGCCGTGGAGCTTGTAGCTTCTATACTGGGTCTCGGGCCGCTTTCACTGCTACTGCTACGGTTTCGCTACTGCCACAGTGCTACTACGGCTGCTTCTACTACTCCCACACTGCTCCTGCTGTCTCGTGATAATCGCTACTGATTTCTATATTCAAAAACGGTATTGTCCCATGTCCGAGATGGCTCAGAACTTCTGAGGTCCCGAACTCGTCTTCTGCACGTTCCAACAGCCACTCCTCCTGGGGTGCAGGGTGCCGGCCTGCTGTTGAAGCAACACCCCCGAAGAGCTTTCTTCGTTTCTAGTGTTGAGGATCCTCCCCGTGCACCCGAAGCGTCCGGAACACAAGGTTTGCTGGGCATCTGGTTCAACCACCTTGGGCCTTGGGGCCAGGAGTACGAGTAGGCGAAGTAGCAAGAGCAGGAGCCACAGCAGCAGCCAGGACACGACTCTTCCGAAGCGTGCACATGCTTACTTTGCCTGGTTGGCTTCTCTTATGTACACAAAGTCCAGACTTCAGCAACTCGCTCTCCGTCCCTGCAGATTCGGACGGCCTGCGCAATGGCTGCTTGGAGCTCTGCCACTTCCTGACTGGGGTCGTGCTTGCAGTGTCCCAACATTTCGGGACGAATAGAAGTAAGCTGTGAGAAGCCTTAGAGTCTTAGAGAGTTTAGACAAGACTTTGCGCACAAGACCGACGTTTTGTCAAATGGTGCTTGCTACCGGAGAATAGAGGGTCTAGTAGAAGGTTTGGGGGGGTCCCGGCAATGCGAGCCCAAGGATTGCAGACATCAGCAAACCTGGCACAGAAGGATTTCCCGGTCGGTGCGAGGTTTTTCACGCAGTCGTTCCATGGCAAGTGGGGCAGTGCTGAAACGGTTTGCCCGACAATCCAACACATTATTCCAGCACACGCCGACTCCCTTGTTAACATGTCCGGTGACAGGGGTTACTACGGGTTTGGCAAGTTCGCGGTGTGG